ATAACTGGTTACAAGGCTAAAAGGTAGCTTCCCTATTTCCTTTAGATGCGACATTATTCTCTTTGAAGCATCTTACTTTGTGTAAGTACACAACTTACTTTGTGTAAGTAAGTACACAACTTACACAACTTACATCTTACTTTGTGTAGAAAGCATTCACTTTAAACACTTAGAGATATTTACATGAGGGGAGTCCAACTTGGACCAGTCATTAGACTAACCATTTTAAAGAGAAAATACCTGTGGTGTAAGTAGAAAAGACCATGGAGGCTGATGTAAGGTCTAGGTTTTAACACTTGTTAAACAAGTAACTAGCTGTGTGGTCTTGGCCGTGTACCTTGTAACTTCACTAAACATCAGCTTCTAAATGTTTCAAATTATGCATTCTAGATAGAGACTTTTAAATTGTCTTGAGGATTATATGGGACCACACACACACAAATACTCCTTTACGTTGTTTTTCTGGCAACTCAGAGGTAGCCAAATAGAGCTTGTTAAAGGAAAACAACAGCAAAAATATTTAAAATGCATAATGGTGGGAGATTATGATTAATTAAAAAGTTAAGTTTTTTCCATCAATTCATTTTAAATACAAGCTGTAATTCAGCATTGCTCAATTCACCAACCTCTCTGGGGGCATCCTGTTTTCCTGGCAGAAGTTCAACAAATTTGGTGGCCTCGTGATATATGGATTGTATTTTAACAAAGGGATCAACAGCTCATCCAAGTACCTTTGACTCTAGAGGGAAATAACACTTTTAGGTGGAAACCTTCAGTAGACTTGGACACCTGCATAATGACTGAACTTAGCATAGGTTTACATAGAACACAGCTCCATTAGAATTCTGATGGCTTGGAAAGGAACAGAAGGTTATAAATTTCCTAAGGGAAAGTCTCTGGAGGGCGTGAGGACCTGAAACAAAATCAGGCCAATGTGACAGGCGTGTTGTGAATGGCTGAAAAAATAGAAAAACCCATCATCACAGGACAAATGTGTTGCATTTTTCCTAACAAACAGTGACCCATTGCAGCTTGTGTGATACAGTCCTCTCACTTTTTAAGGGTTGCTAATGACTGGTAGGCTTTCTCTTTTCTGCTTGTTGAGAGGTGATATAGTATAAGCCTATTCATCAGATACCTATGACCTCATAGAAATACCTTTTCCAGTGCAGAAGAGGAAAATTAGGAAAGGGAGAGGACAAAAACGGGAGAAGGGAGAGCAGAGGAGGGAAGGGAAGACAAGAAGAGTTGGGAAGAGGTGAGCAGAAAAAAAAAAAAAGGAAAAGAAAAAGGGAAACTATGGGATCTGCTTGATTTTATGGTTTAGCAGTCGTGAGGATGTAGTCTCAAAAGTTTTTAGAATGTGGGACTATAAGCAGATAAAAGGTAGTTTAATGTGCCCAAGATTCTGAGATCTGCCCACATTTCCAGCCACACTCTGCAAAGGGGGATAATAAGAAATCACTGCTGTCCTCCTGTTGGTACTGACAGCAGGAACTCATACCTGAATTTGTGAGCAAAAGGTGACTTAAGTACAGAGCTGTCCAGGACAGTGGGTATCTGTAGAGGTCGTCAAACTTTATGGGCAGCAGTAGAACATAGGCAAGTGCTTCCCAAAACTTTCACCACCAAAGACTCCTCCAGCATTTTCTTTCTGTCCCATGAACCCCATAATTTGAATTTTTTTTTTCTACTGAACAGAGTCCATGGATTTAATGACACAGTGCGTTTTTCATATTCTTATTAAGCAGTCTGCTATCTACTTCTGTTGTCACTCCAGACTGATATTAGAAAACGTGGTTGCCTCTGAGTGGATTTAAATCCAGCCACAATGACACTTCATCTTTTAGATGGCCCTTATCTTACTGTAAATATTAGTCACTGCTTCTTTTGAAATACTGAAGATAGTGCTGGGTATTGCTTTCGTAGGAGATTAGTAAACACATAAAATGATAATATTAAAGTAGAAAGGGAAGTGAATTGAGACAGAAAGCTTCAAATCATCTGGAGGGAAAAATAATGAGGTAAGAGAGGTTGGAAAGAGACCCTGGGGCTCCCTGCGGGTCTTAAGCAAGTGTTAATTTTCCCCTCTCTTTTATCCCTGATTCTGACAGATATGTGGCCCATTTTCCTAGCTACTAGTCCCAGATAAGTGGAAAGATGTATGAGAAGGTAAAAGCGATGGATGTTGAATCAGACCCTGCTCCTTGCCGGGTGAGAGATTTAAGAGAATCCCTCTGTTTCCCCGAGCTCTGCTTTTCCAGCTATAAAATGAGGCCACTGGGCTATGTGATCTTGCTATCTCTTTCTATTCTAACGTGCTGTGATTTTTTTTTTTAACATCACTTCTCTGAGCCTCATTTTTCTTATCTGTAAGAATGGGAAGAATGTCTACATCACAAGGTGACTTTGAGTATTAAAAGATAGCAATTGAGTATCTTTCCCTATACAAATCTACCTGATTCCTGAATTTAGTTATTAAGAGTTCATAGAATGAGTTCAGATAGTGAGAAGTACCACGCTGTTTGAGTCGATTTCAGTTCACTATTTCATATACTAAGTGGTGAGTTTTGGATAGTGAAGATTTATCAAATGTTTTTTGTTCCTGGATGTCTTTGGAAGCGCCTTACACATAGGCAACCCTCAATAAAGATTGACTCTGGTCTCCTTGACCTTGAGGATAGAGACAGCCTTGTTCAGCTTTGCACCCCCAGTATGTAGCACCGTGCCAGAGTCAGGAATTCCCAGTGGATGTTTGTGACCCTCAGGCGAGTCATGTGATCTTGCTGGGTCTCAGCTTGGCTGTAAAATGTATTCAACAATATCTACCCCCCCATAGGGTCTTATAAAAAATAGTAAAAGATCGTTTCAAAAAAGGTAAATTCATGATTCTCACACAGATATAAAATGATCAAGTGTAAAATATTTTGCATAACTCATTAATCAATGAAAGAACCAGGAGTGTTACAACCAGTTAAGAGAAAAATCCAAAATAAAGACACATTTATAGATCAAGAATATTGAAATTAATGTGCTAAGGAGGTAAAACTAGCTTCTTGCACAGTGAAGAGGGAAGTCAATTGAACCTCTACTAGACAGAATAACATTTGACTTTAGAGAAGAATTATTTTGTACTGCTAATAGCTGTTTATATTTTACAGAGTTGTAAATTCTGTAGAATTCTGCCATAGAATCACATAAACAGAAAGGTGTGCTGTAGACAATATATATAGTTTTCCATTGAAGCACAAAATTTTCCCCACATAAATTAATTAGATAATCATGTAAATTACTTAACTGGTGCCTAGCACACAGCGAATTTCCAATAAACGATTACTTTTAAAAATTGTAACAGTGAAAGAGACTGTTTTGTAGATACTCAATAAATTGAATCAGAACTGCAACTCTAACAACGCCTTAGTCTGTTTCTGAGGTTTGTTATCTGTTGTCTCATGTAATTCAGGGTCCTCCTCCTCTTTTTAAATATACACTCTACTATGTTTCTTTAACATGTGCCAAGAAGAGTCTGCAAATTGCCGAACAAACTTAAACATTTCTCTCTGCGTTAAATACAATACTATCCTAATGGGAATTCCTACAATAACCCAGAATGACAATAGCAAAACCAAGTTCGAGGCAAACGTAACAATGGATGTTTATTCATGTGTTTGTGGAAGGAAGACTCCTCTGCTGTCACTTTTGTTTAAGCAACAGTTCAAAGTGTTGAAAAGGGTAGTCTGTCTTACGGAGTAAAGGGAGAAAATACTCAGGCTGTATCTAATTGGCAAGAGTTCTGTTAAATGGGATTTTGGCAAGTGCGGGACACTTTCTAATTGATACATTTGACAGTTCTTGCTTGGCTAAAGGGGACAAGTAAGAAATTTGGGGTTCAAAAGAGTAAGGATTGTTTAGTGTGAGAGCAGAGGGTTTTCTGTGGCTATTTCCTAGAACAAGAAGGTGTCCATGGGGTTCTTTGTTCCTGTCATAATGATCCTTCTAGACTGGGAGGAGACGACCACTATGGCTGATGGTTTCTTAATATAAACCAGTTAATACAAGTGAGAGTTCAAGAAGTAATATGGTTTAGATGTGCATGAAATGATTTTGTTGAATTTAGTTAAAAAAGCCCCATGAATCCCAGACAGAGATTTGAAATTTCAGGCCAAAACAATTGTGATGGGGGAAATAAAAATTATGTGGTTAAAGAATCTGACCATAATTATATGATACATAGTGACATGAAATTTACTATCAGTTTTTCCCTGGAAGTCACCATAGCCCAATGTCCAAGCCACTCTTTTTTCTTCTGTCTTAAGACAGATTCAATGCAAAAAAATATTTTGATATTAATTATTAAAACAAAACAATAATTGATGGTCCTCTCCCACACCTGAGTGATGAAAGAGCAATGAATTCAGCTTAGCTGGTCTTAAAATCTGACCTCCCCAATATGTAAGTCTTTCCCCTATGATCTGAAAAATGAGGCTAATAAAAACTTGCCAGACAGAGAGTTATAGGTAGTAAGTGCTTAGAAAGGTGTTTGTACTAATTGAATAAGATTATATGTGTATATATATATACATACATATATATATGCATATATATATGAGTGTACACATATATAGTAACTAACAAACAAAGGCCCAGGCCCATGGTAACTTCTCAAATGTTAAATTCCTTTCCATCTTCTCAAAGCATGCAAGAATAAGAAATTTTTAGTGAAATCTATTATATTGAGGCTCTAATCAACAAACTTTTATTAAGCCTTTGCCACTCACCTGGGCTTCTACTAGGTGTTCATTGGAGATACAAAACCACATTAACATGCAATATTGTTTTTAAAAGAGAAATTTTTTCTTCCTAAACCTTTCTATTAAACAAATAATAAAATGTTCAAACATTTTTAGTGTGAGTTATGGGCGCTATAATCTAACTGATCCACCAGCATTTACTGAGCATTATATATTCCTAAGTATATCCTTTTATTCTTTTTTATATAGGAGTTACTGGAAAAGCAGAGATAACCTACGTAGATTAACAATATGGAAACATCCTGAAACCACTTTGGAGTCTCAGTAAATTGACTGGATTCACGTTTCACGAACAGGGAAACTGGCCCATGGACAGTTTGCTACAGGTAAGTGAGAGGTGTAATTTACTTTGTTAGGATCTTTCGAAGATGTACTGACTGTGGGGTTCTTAATTACATTTCGGATGATCATAATGTTCGTTCGGTACAGCTGACAGCTTCTCTTCTCTCCCAAACGTACGCACGTGGATGCCAACATATGGCTAAAAGTCTGACCATTTCATCTTGTTCATTTGGGCTTCAGTCAATTACAAAAGGAGGAAGCAGGGGGGAAAGTACCCACCTCATAAAACTTTTACTAGTGGTGATTTATGCGGAGGGGTGCGAGTCAAACTGTTCCTGGGACAGATGTTTCTTTGCACTACCCGGGGAGTTGAAAGAGCAGCAGATTTGTCTGTCCGGGATTCAGAAGGAAACAAGCAGGCAAATGGTGATGCCCCGCTCCTTCTTTGAAACTGAGGCAGCAGTTCGGTCACTGATATGGAACAAAGTGTTTAGGAAAGGTAACTGGCTTTGTATTCTCCCTTTGAAAACCTGGTGAGATTGGAAAGCTTGATGTGGTGACAGCATGAAAATATTTTCTCTTGGGTTGTTGCTGAACTTGTCTGAATGAACCGGTGGGGAAGAATGAAAGTCTAAGTGACTCATACAGTTGGCAGTTTGTGGGCTGAGGGCACAGGCTGTGGCATGGTCTGTAGCTAAATGTTGTATCATCAACAGTCAAGGCCACCTGAGCCTAGAAATAGGAGCTGTCCAGCTCTGCGAAATGGAAGTAATCTGTTCGTTCATCTGTGGCGTTTCACTGTGTCGAGGAGAAAAAAAATAAGATCAAGTCATAGTGCTATTAAGCTCCATCTATGGCAAGGGAGACATTTCTACTTGTCATTTTAATTGGCAAATACTTACTTGAATCATTCCTGCTGTTTTGCGGGTGAAGTAGAAATATTATTGGAACCTGGCACCAGGGCAAGAGGAATTGCTCTTACATTTTCCTGTTAATATTTAGCTCTCTCTGGGTTGCTTGTATAACAGCTGTCTGTCCTGAATTCATAACTGAAGAGCTTCCCTGAAGACAACTGTTCTTTCCTGCATCAAGTGCATCACATTGCATAGATTAAGCTAAATAGAAGACACGTTATCTGTCTTCTGGGAAACCACTTTGTTTGGAAAGTCGCATAAGAACATAGCTATGGAGGTGTTTTCTACCATGTAAAGTGCTCTCTAAAGGTGAGGAGGTGATGGTAAGATAAAGATATGGTAGCAGCCCCTCAAGAGGAACATGAATCAACAAAGAGAGAAAAAGACCTGAAGCTCTTATTTTCTGGTTCATTTGGTTTTTGTTTTTTTGTTTTTAAGTATATGTGATGGTCCCCTTTCTCTGCCTTATATCTTAGTCCTTCTATCTATACAGAAGGGAGGATGTTGTTTTCTTTTACTCCTACTCTTGTGTTTATAGGGAAGAAAGACTCACATGAGTGACCCAGGTGAAAAGAGGATTATCCTGTTAACATGTGTGGGCTGGAACTGAAACAGAATTTGAACAAGAAAAAGAAAAGACAGTTCTAGAACCTTCTTAAATGTCTGTACCATTCTTATAAGCAACAGGGAACTTATCCTTTATGCAATTCAACTTCTCTCTGAACATGTATTCCATTCATTCCTCTCTCTCTCTCTCCCCGCCCCCACTCTTCCTCTCTGTCAGCTTCTGATTGCTTTTCTTACGCCTCTTTTATTTGCTTCTCTCATCATTTTGCCTTACACATAGCTTCTCATGGCCTCTTTGGCCACCGCCCATGTATTCAGCTTCAAATCTTGCTGCTAACGGCCTGCCTCTGTTGGGTTACACTCAGGAAACAGAAACCACACTGGTTATATTAAGAGATAAAATGTAATTTAAGAATTATTTACCAGATATCGGAGAATTAAAAAGGCAAAAAGGGGCACTGATAAGTCATAGAGATAGAAGTTGCAGGAAGTGGCTACTTTGGCTGCAGGGACAACAGCAAGAGTTTGAGATTATTAGAATTTAGAATATTGGAGGAGGGCCTTTACAGAACGGGAATTTAGGAGTCTTGGGTAGGGGTGTTGCCTGAAACATACAGGAACTTTAGAAGCTTGGGTGGGGAGGACTCCGCCTTGCTGGGATTAATGTCTCTAAGAAGAATTATGCTAGCTAGCTGGTGTCGTGCCCCAGGAGCTTAGATTGGCGACCGCAAAGATCTGGGACTCAGAATTTTGTGAGGAATGGTGTTGAGACAATGTAACAGCCCGACGAATTAGAAGGGAATCCACAGGCAGAGCTGAGACCACATCTCTGAGGAAGGGATACCAGGCAGCTAGTGCTGTAACATTACTTGGAGAGGGGGGCGATTAGGCTGCTTCTAGGTGTGTAGGAAAAAATGCAAAATGGAACCAACTGTTGTGTGGGGTATAGGTCAGGAACAGTTCCCCCTCCAACTTTCTAGTCTCCCTCTAGCTCTTTCTATTGGCATAAGTAGGGAATCAGGTGACAAAGGAGACCTGTGCTTTGCAGAGACTCAGGCTCAGCATTTCAAAGCAAGATAGAGGAGGATGGATTTGAACTGAGAGATAGCAATTTAACAGTGAGCACATAACTTATCCCTTGTTTATGTGTAAAGGTGTGTGTGTGTGTGTTTAAATTTTCGAAAGCGAGACTCTGATTGGCTTGATTCGTCTCTTCACTGAGGTCACAGCTTTTGACTTACCTAAGATTTGCCTGACTTTTAGTCCAGTGCTGCTCCTGGCTTAACTGAGTGGCATCAGATGGTGGATTATAATAGAATGCAATGGAAAACATTCCTCTTAGGGCCATAATCTCTTTTTCTGAAAATCAACTAAGGGCATTCACGTGATTGCTATGTAGTACAGATGTAAAATATGTAAATGTGATATTGTTAATGATTGACTTTTTAAAAAAGCTTTTAAATTGTGAAACAATTGTACATTAACATGTAGTTTTAAGAAATAACATGGAGAGACCCCATGTCCTCTTCTCCCATCCCCCCGATGATAATATCTTACAAAACTATAGAACAGTAAATAAGACAACCATGACATTGACATTTGTACAAGGAACAGAGATTTTCTGTCACCACAAGGGCCCCTCCTGTTGCCTTTTTATAGCCACACCCACTTCATTCCCATCCCCAACTTCTTCCTTAAGCACAGACATTTCCATAATTTTGTCGTTACAAAAATGTTACGTAAATGGAATCACGCAGTTTGTAACATTATGGGACTGGCTTTTTTTCACTCAATACAATTCTCAGAAGATTCATCCAAGTTCTTGGGTGCATCAGCAGTCCCTTTATTTTTCCAGCTAGTAGTATTTTATGGTAAAGATATACAACAGTTTATTTCACCATTCACCTTTTGAAGGATGTCTTGATTGTTTCACTTTGAGGCTATTACAAAGTTGCTAGAAGCATTAATGTACAGAGTTTTGTGTAAACATAGATTTCATTTCATTGCTCCAAAGTGCAGTTGCTAGATTATATGGTGGTTGTATATATAGTGGGTTTTTTCCAGCTTTATTGAGAGTTAATTGACACATAGCATTGTGAAAGTTTAAGGTGTACAGTGTGATGATTTGATACATATACAGGCTGTGAAATGTTTACCATGATAAGGTTAGTTAACACATGCTTCATCTCAAATAATTACCATTTTGTTACCGTCGTGGTGGTGAAAACACTTAAGAGCTACTCTCCTAGCAACATTTAACTATATAATACAGTGTTGTTAACTATAGTCACCATGCTGTACCTTAGATTCCCAGAACTTAGTCATCTCGTAACAGAAAGTTTGTACCTTTTGACCAATGTCTATTACTCCCACCTCCCACCCCTGGTAACAATGAATCTACTATCGGTGTCTATGAGTTCGATGCTTTTAGATTCCACATATAAGTGAGATCGTACAGTATTTGCCTTTCCCTGTCTGACTTATTTCACTTAGCATAATACCCTCAAGGTCCACCCATGTTGTTATAAATGGCAGGATTTCCTTCTTTTTATGACTGAATAAATTTCATATATCTATATATGTTACACATAACATTTTCATTATCCATTCATTTATTGGTTGACACTTAGGTTGTTTCCGTATCTTGGTTACTGTGAATAATGCTGCAATGAACATGGAAGGGCGGATACCTGTTCAAGCTAACGATTTCATTTCCTTTGTATATACACCTAGAAGTGGGATAGGTGGATCATATGGCAGTACTATTTTTCATTTTTTGCGGAACCTCCATACTGTCTTCATAGTAGCTGCACCAATCTACATCCCCACCAACAGTGCACCAGGATTCCCTTTTCTCCACACCGTCACCAGCATTTGCCTTGCTGGTAATAGTCAGTCCGCCAGGTATACGGTACCATCCATTGTGGTGTTTATTTGCAGAGAAAAAGTTTTGAATTTCAATAAAGTCCAGTTTATCAGATTTTCCCTTTATGGATCATGCTTTAGTGTCCAGTCTATGAACTCTTTTCCTAGCCCTAGACCTCAAAGGTTTTCTTCTATGTGTTTCTTCTAAAAATTTTACAGTCTTTATTATATTTAAGTGCATGACTCATAACCCATCTTGAGTTAATTTTTGTATGAGATGTGAAACTTAAGTCACATTAAAGACATGCTTATGGGCATCCACTTGCTCTTCTTGGCGTTGGCATCTTTTGAGGTTTTCATCCATTTGAAACCTTCCTGGTTGTTGGTGTCATGAATTATTTGCAACTCATACTTGGATCTTTTGGGTATTATATTATGAGACTCTATATCTTATTTAAACCTTCACTTTTAGCCGCCTTCTTCCGATATTGCTTCAGCAGGGGAAGGGGGGGTAAATTACATCAGGTGGGAGTGGAAATTCATGTTCCGTACTTGGCCTCTGTTGACACATGAGTGGATGGGGCCTCCTCATTACTTCTGAGCATGGGCAGGAGTTCCACCTTCCACTAGACATCCACCGATATGTCCCTGGCTGAGAGGAATAGGAGGGTGGTGTAGCTGCTACCCATTTGGCCACC